AAAACCGTTATTTCAAAATATTAATGAAAAAAGTATTAAATTATGATAAGATTAAGCAGTAAGATTCAGCAATTCATAAAATGGAATTTTATTTTACAGATTTAAAAATACTATATGGCATATTAATAAAAATTAATATTTTATATTTTTAATATACAAATACAGTTACATTTACTTTGAAAAATTAGTATAATATGTTAAATAGGAAAATATAATATAAAGTAATTAAAATAATGGCATAGTTATTTTATTACGTGGTTTAATAGATAATAAAATATTTGATTTAATATACCAAGAACTATATTTCAAACTATTTCAATTTAGTGGATTCATAACATTTTTGAATTCATTAATAAAATATTTGAATAATTTTATTTGTTATTATATATATGCTGCATAAATATGACTAATTTATTGTACAAATTAATAAAAAAGATTAATTTACAGGTTTTTTTTTTTAATGTTTGGAAATCATTAAAAGCATATATTTCTTGGAACATGTATTCTTAGAGAAAGTTCAATATCAAGAAAAGCAAAAGAAAAATATAGATATTGAAAATTACGGATAAATAATAACATTATTTATTTCAATTTGTGTGATGTTGATACTAGTTTAGAGATGCAGAAACCTGAAATACAGAAAATAAAAATATTAAATAAATAACTAAAATAATTTTATTTATATTAAATTGGTGAGAATCGGTACTCAAAAAAAGTAAGTGTGAATAATATAGAATAATGTGAAAAGGAAAATCGGAATAGTAATCAATTAGATATATTAATATTAGATATTGTTAGATAATTATAATCTATAATATATTTTTACACTTTTAGAATGTCCTTTATTAAAATAATAAATTTAATTTATTAAGCTAATTACATTCAATAAGAATGATTAAATGGAGACTACGAAAATATAGACATTAAAATGGTTAAATTTTTATTGATATTATAAACTTAATTAAAACATGTTTAGGAAAAATAAAATATAACTTATATTTTAAAATATTTTTTTATTTCTTACTGATTTATAGAATTTGGAAATTAGTTAAGCTGTTAAATTATGAAAATAATGGTTTCTAACAAAACTATGGCGGTGATAGTGTAAGACATGCAGAATAATTTTGTTTGATTTATGCCTCAGTAATATATCGATTCCAGTAATGTAGTTGGAGGACTATTTCAGTTCGGTCCGGATAGGAATAAACACTATAAGATTTGATTGAAGTGGAATGATGCCGACAAAGAATGTGATTCATCCGAATAAAAAATTAAATATTTGGAATATGATAAGGGTCAGTACTTCAAAAAGACATTCTTAACATACCAATATGAAATGAATGACGTATTGTATATGAAGTTTAATTTACTTTGCGAAATGTACACCAACGATATCACTGCTCTTTTCAACGCCAAGAATGCGCTACGAATGTATTGTAGATATGTAAATATCGCAGGAGATTTATGTACCGACAAGTAATACTCTATCGCCTAAACTATCAGGCAGTTACTACGTGTTGTAACTACATTTTTCACGTGTTATTTAATAATTATTTTAAAAATTTAATTGTTAATTTATAAGTCTATATTATAAGGGAAATTTTATTTAATGAAATCTAACCTAAAATGTATTATTATTAAAAATGTATAATATATTTGAAAAACAGTTGTCTAACATTTTATTTATGTATATTAAAAATGTCTTAAATTATAAAAGTGATATAAATATTGTAATTATTTGAAACCCTATACTGTTAATGATTTACTAGAACTTACCTTATAAATATTATTACATATAGTAATTTTATGAATATTTAAGAGCTATTACAACATATGTATGTAACCAAGAAGAAAATAGAAAAAAGAATATTTATTAGACAATTAAATTTTTCAATTTTAACAGAAATATTTTTAGATAATCATTTAAATAAAAATAGTAATTATGTATTTGTTATTTATTCATTGATATCAAAATTAATTTATAAATGACATCGCTTAACAATATATGTTAAATATATTATAATAATAAATTAATAAATTCAATTAAAAAAATATAGTAAAATTATTCTACTAATTGTTATAGTTTCTTTATAGTAAAATATTATTCATTAAAGAGAGTACAATTAAAATACTACTTATGTTCTTGGATATTTATAATAAAAAATAGTACATTTCAAGCAAAATTCGATAAATACTTTTGCAACAGCTTATTATCCTTTTATTTAAATTTTATTATTTTTATTAAGTTTTTCGAAATAAAATGTATATAAAACTAACTAATATTAATAATGTATTTCAAAAATCGTGTTTATAAAAGTTAAACAATAATTTTAGCTGAGCATTACTATTTAACTAATAAAACTTAATTATTTTTATTACTTATATACTTGACTTATAGATAACCTTGTTATTTATTCAGATAATGAAATCATATACTTAAATATTTGAAATAAAATAACAATATATTCATTTTAAAATTATTTTTGAAGTATTTTATAATTCACATTAGCTTTTTCTATTACTGATGAGGCAAATTGTAAAGAAAAATATATAATAAAATTGAGTGGCAAGAAATGTTTTATAGAATGGATAGTATTTGTATTATATTTACAAGTATATGTTTATGTAAAAATATAATATTATATAAGAGTTGTAATTAATATTAAATAATATGATTAAGATTTCATAATATATATACATGTAATAGATATAATAATAATAATAAATAATACATTTCAAAGGGAAAATGTTATTAAATAGTTTAAAAAAAAATACGAAAAAATATTACTCAATATGATATGTATTTATGTAATATAATAAATAATAAATAAATTTTAAAAATAATAATGTAAAATAAATACTGAAAATGAGTTTTTTATATAAACATATTATTATGCTAATCTATATATATATTATATTAATATTATACTTATTATAAATATACATATTTTGTTTTTATTGAGTAATATTTTTTCCTATTTTATTTTATATGTTTAATAAAATATTTATTTAATTAGTTAATATTTATTTTATAAAAGTCGTATCTATTATTATTCTAATATATTTATAATTATTAATTTGAAATATTGAGTTTGCATGCTGCATATAATTTTATTTTTAATTGTTCAGTTACTATAATGTTATTTTGAATTATATTTATAATTTTATATTGAATTTAGCATACTATATATGATATGTTATGAATTGATTAATCCTCAAATTGAAAAATTTATTTATAGTTTAAAATTTTTATGTTTTTCAAAAATGAAACATCGAGTAAATCATAATACATAAATATAAAATAAATTTGCACAAATGCACCAAATTATTAAAAAAAATTTGTTTAGATTGATATTAAGCTAATGTAGAAGTAAGATAGGAAAGGTGACGAAGAAAGTGACGAGAAAGTGCGTTGATCAGTAATTAGAATAAATAGTAGATAGTAGAATAATAGGATTGTAAAATGGATAGTAGAAACCCGAAATAGCAGGATGGAATTTTACATAATGTGGTTGAAAAGATTTATTCGAAAATAATTGTATAAACGAAATATATATTACTGGGGCAAAATATAAGTTTAAAAGAAAATGTGTATGGAGTAATCAGAATTAATAGACTAAAAAAGTCAAGTTTAATTGCAAAAAAAAATATAAAATTAGTACTGTTAATTAGGATTATTTAGTAAATGTAAATCTGAGTATGCGTGGGTATTCTATAATATAGAAGGTATAATATAGAGGGTATTCTATAATAAAAATGTGTAATAATTCGGGAATATTCGCATTTTAATTTTAAGATGTTATAACTCAATATCACTATTTATATATAAATATGTTTATAATAGATAAATATTTAATTATTAGATCGTAGAAATTTAAAAAGATTATAATTTTTTACAAAAGATAAAATAAATATTTAATTCCAATTTAATTAATTAAAACTATATATAATATTTTCCTGCATATTTTTCTTAGATTATTTCATATTTTCAGGCTAATTAATTATCAAAGCATGATTTATGGTAATTCAATTCTATACATTTTTATCACCACCTTATTAAAAATGAGTATTTTTAATATATATTAGCAGGCTTCAAGTTTTACTAAAAAAATTATAACGAGAAATGAAAAATAATGAAAATTATTTAATCACTATCACTTACTACTATCACTTTATTCTCCAACATATTTTGTTATATTATATTTTATTACATTAATTACAAAAAAATACTGCTTATATCACTTTATTACTGTGATATATATTAATATAAAGGCTGTGGTACTTTTCAAATATTTTTTCGTTCGATATAATTTTATAAATTTTTAATTTACAACTAATTATTAGTGTTTATTAATTTCATAATTGTATCATTTAAAAATATTTAAAAATATTTGCTAACTATTTTTAATAAAATAGATCAATTGCAGAATAAAAATAGAATTTTTATTATTTATATAATATTTACTATTTTTCTTATTTTAATAATACAACTATTGTGTTTTTAAGTTTTTTAAAGGTGTTAATAAATAAATTTTTTATGATTTTAAAGTAAACATAATTTGATTAGAATAATTAAAGAATCGTAATTTATTTTCTAACTTCCTTTCATATTTAAAAAGCCCAAAATCAAAGAATAAGAATTTTTTGTTTTTATTACTTAATTAATTTTTTTCCGAATAAAAGTAATCAAAATATAAAATTGATAGTAGTTTTTAATAGCTTTGTTATTTAAAATAATTGTAGAATAAAATAAGTATTAAGCAAAAATACGATGGTTTTTTCCATTCTTGAGTAGATATTTTTATTCCTTGTACTTATTGTTTTACTTTCAAAGAATATATTAATACCTATTTCTTCATATATTAAGTTTTTAAAAATGTATGCTTTAACATTTATTTACTTTTGTTTATTATTTTTTACCAAGTTTAGTGAAGGTAACTGTGTTTGAAATATATTCATGTAAAAATCATAAAATTAAAAATATAATTTTTTTTAATCTACAGGAGTAGTCACTTCTTTCACAAAAGAGCAATGTTTTGTTTGTTGCAATAGTATGATATATATTTATATAAATAAATAATAATAAATATTTATTAATACCAATACATGCAAAAATTTTTATAATCATTAAAAATTTTATAGATATTATTGTTTGAAAAAAAAATTTTGTTTAGAATTAGTCTCTTTAAAACATTAATTACAATTAAAAAAAATCAATAATTATGAATTTTTCTCGATGTTTTGATATTTCGAGGAAATATAAAATAAAGGACTTTTATAAATTGAAGCTTTCTTTTTTATTAATATTATTATGTACTAATAATTATACTAAAGATTTAGTATACAATAATTTTAACATTTTAGAAAGGATTTTACTGGTAATATTGCATAAACTCATAATTAGTCCATAATATGGGTCGCTTAGTTAAAATTATATTTGTGAATAATTATACCCAATTACATAAATTTTTATGAATTTAAACTTATTTTATATTTCTATGAATATCTTAATTATGAAGTTATTTTATATGTCTTTTAACTTATTAACTACTTTGAAAATAATTACTTAAATAATATTTGATGATTATAAAATACATAATTAAAAAATTTGTGTATATGAGTAATAGTAAGAATTATCTTTTAAGATGCTGTCGATGAATAAAATAATAAGTTAAAGAATTTGGATCACTTTCGCTATTTTTCAATATAAAATTTTATTAGAAACTTATTACAGTGAAAATTTAATTAAATATTTGTTTTTTCTTATTTATTACTTACACTTTCAGCACTTAATGTTTAAATTAATATACAAATATTATGAGTTAATATTTATTATATAATTATAATTGTATATAATTAATTTGCTTATCTTTTGTATTTAACTGTAGCTTTCGCAACAGTTGATAAACAGGAATGTATAAATAAATGTAACACAAAATTTTCTTGTGAGTAATACAATCATTTTTATATAAATTACATATGTACAAATATAAAATGCAACAATAATTGTAGTAATAATAGTAGTGATAATAGTATTAGTAATAATAGAAGAAGTAATATTAGTAGTTGTAATAGTAGTAGTAACTTTAATATTAATATTCATAAATATATACACAATTATACATGGAAAATTTCATGTATGATAATATATATTAATTTATATGAATGTATTATATTAATTCACATAATATAGTTTTAAGTAAAATTAGTTCATGCATTAATAACTATAAAAATAGTAAAAAGAAAAAAAATATTAAAATAAATAAACGTATATATTTTTATATTTATTATATTTATCTCCATTTTACTTATTTTTATTCTTACTCAAATTATCTAATATAGATTGAAATATTCTTATTAGTTATTTATTTTTTATTTTTTAGCGTCCCAAAATTTTTTGACAATGAGACAGTGTATTTTAAATTGTGAAAGTAAGACATTTGTATCTTTACTCATATTTTAATTTTATCAATAATGTAAAATTTTTAGATTATGTTAGTAATAATAATGCTACTTCTTACATTTAGATGTATACAGAATTAACTAATATTTGTTCTTCAAGTACATAATTATTACAAATATTTTATTAGAATATTAAATATTATATTATTGAGATTAAAATATTAATCACACTTTCTTTACGACTATATATTTCACCATAAAATAAATTTACATATAAACTAAAATTAAGGGATAAATATTTTTAAAAAATTTTATTTTATATAATTAATTTTATAAGATTTTTAATATTGATAATATATATACATATATATTTAGTACTTATTGAGGTATGTCAAGGTGATTGTAAGGATGCATGTAGAAGCGCGCATAACAGTAAGTAAAATAGAATAGAAATTATGTCGATTTCCAATTTTTCACTCTGGACATTCTCAATTTTATCGAAGTAATATGTTTTTCAGAACGTGGAAAAAAGCGAAATATGCCACTCCAATTAGGGATAAAAAATACTGCTATAAATAAATCAAAAACTTAAATTATCTTTATTATTAATATACAATATTTTTTAATAAAACAATTTTGTAATACAAACATCCGAATAAATACAAAAATTGAATTTATAATAGAATTTTTTTATAAACACTGAGGCTACTGTGTTCATGTGGCATTAAAGTGAGTTATGTTGAGGAAAAAGAAAGAAATAGAAAGTTTTTTTATAAGCTATTGTTCTAAGTTTAAATTTATTTCTGATAATTTTTCAAATATACATATTTATTTTATTTTATTTATCATTAAAGCAGATTAATGATATTATAATATGTTTTCACGTATACCTATGGATGGATATAATTAAATCAATTGTAATCATTAGTGTCCACTTCCGTTAGAACAATCAAGTGTAGGATCATCTATGCAGTGAGCTTCTTGTTTTTACGAATTTTGTATAGTTTTGAAGGACAATGTTGCTATTCTGGATATCTCCATTTTAAATTTTATGCCTGGAGTAGAATCCCGATGTTAATTCATTTTACTATTTTGATTCTGTGAAGTGTGTAAGCTAATAAATATTAATTATTCGCTAATGAAAATAAATAGTTAAATTATTTTTTTTAATTTTCTTCTCACCATCTCTCCTTTTCTTATTTACTTTAAGAATCAGATGAATCAGATCAATAAATCTATCCTCTTTCTTAATGGATTTTTATTATATATGTTGTTTACTTTTTATTACTTACCTCTATGTTGCTTAATAGAATTGCGACACGCTTATAATAATACTAAAATTTAGGATATATTGAAGTTACGACTTAAATAATTCCAAAATTCATGTTGTAAAAAACGATGAATAAAAAATTAAACATTCTATAGATATGATTTCATAATTACAGACCCGCAGACCTGGAGATACTGAGTACTTAAAAATAATTTTTACGTAAAATAAAATGATAATAAATAAAACAAGAATATGTTTAAAATATTACTTGTAGTTTTTTCATATTTTGACTTTAAATATTTGTTATTTTGATAGTTGTATAGAAAATGTTTTATTGGAGGGAGATTAGAATAATTAATAAGAATATTTGGCAATCGTTATATTGTCTAGAAGAAAAGAATACTGTTACCTTATTTAATAATATTTAATATTTTTGCGGAAGTACGCGAGATTTGAAAGTGACTAAAACGAAAGTATTGCTATGATTACAGGTGGATTAAATACCAAACTTTGTAATATAATAACATCACATAATGATCTAGTTTGAAAGAAAAAATCGACCGATAAATAAATTTATGATAAAAAAGTATACTAATAACGTATAAATATTGTAATCTTATAATATTAATTGCATTCTAAGAATTAAAAGTTGTATTAATTGTAAGTTAAATATAAAAGGATTCTACATAGTGATGTAAAAAAATTACATTTATGAAGAACCCATTATGATGTGTATCGATACTTATCGAAAATGCAAACAAAAGTTTGAACAAAAATTCTTACAGATACTAAAAAGTTATAAAAATAGTATGTATGTATGAGTTATTATATTACATGATGGCTTAAAACCTTATTATTTGCTTTGGTAAAGGTGGAAATAAAATGAAGATAAAGCTAAGACAATTGGACAAAAGATTGAAACAAAAAGAAAAATATCTTTAAATGAGTTTTTATTCAAATTTATATGAATCCATTTTTTAAAAGATAATTTACAAAAGAAAATTTAGATCGATTTAAAAATAATTACAAGAATGTGATATATGTATGATTAATAGTTACTCAACTCAATTAAATTAAATTTGTAAAATTTTAGTTTCTCTTTATCAGTTAATAAATTGCTCTTTCTTCTGTACGAACATCAATTTTATTTTTAATTAATTATTTTTAAATATAACAATATATTTTAGTTACAATTAAATAAAATGTTTTTAAAATAATATGTTGTTTCATTACACAAACACGAAGTGATATTGAAAATTTTAAACTAGAAATACACAAATTGAAAGATAAACATATATATTTTAATATGTTATAAATTCTCGAAGATAAAGAAAGTAGGTTTACTATATTAGACTTGTATTTGTTAAGTCTATGTATTTCATGATAAAAAACAAATAGGAAATAAAATAGAACTTTATTATAATAAAGATAAGGGTTAAGTTAAAGGAAAGTAAAATACGGTAATAAAATACGAAAATATAATGAAATAGGAAAAAAATGAAAAAGAGTAATTATTGTATTATAAAAAGTTCATTTCATGGAATGCAATCGTATGAATAATCGTATGAATGATGGTAATAAGTTTTGAGAATTTTTGATGTATGTCGATAAAACATAACTAAATTTAGATATGCAACAAAAAATTTACGTCAGAAATGAGCATAGCGAGTACGAGTCAATGTCATTTATTTTTATAAATGTCTTACAATTATTTCCATATTTAGAGTCTTTAGATTATGAGGGTATAGTTTCATATTGGTCGGTTAGCTATAATGATCAGTTTTAAAAGCATAAGTATTGAAATCTGAAATGTGTCGCAAAAAATGTAGAACATTGAATAAATAAAATCACGAGTATTACTGAATAAACAATTAATATATATTGACGAGAAATATATTTTTATTTATTAATATCAGACTAATATCGAGACGAGAAAAAAATTCAACAATCCAAAATTGCTTTACCATTGATTAATATAAATTTTTCATTCCAAAACATACTATATATATAAATTATAATGTGGAATTATTTTTTCTTAATTTTCAGATCTACTTCTACATTAGAGGATTTGTTCTTATTTGACTTTCCACGTTCTGTAAATAAATATATTATTTTTATAAAAGCCAAAATATTTATAATGTAAAAAACGAGAAAAATAAATATTTGTAACAGAATGAAAGGTACATACTGTTATGAAGAATCCGACAGGCATTTTTACAATCGCCCTGGCATTCAGTAACTAGAGCTAAAAAACATTTAATATTTGATATTAAAAGTAAATTTGATAAAAATTGTAAATTTATTACCTTTAACTAATCATTTATTAGAAAATAAATAAAAATTAATATTATAAGACTGATTTGTTAAACATTAATTATTATATTTTAATATACATAACAGCTCTAGAAATAAAATTTGTTAAAAAGAATGTTTAAATTTATCGTCATTAATTGTATGTAAGAAAATAATATTTTTATAGCAATATAAAACTTTTTTTTTTATTTTTGAGTAAAATTGTAATGGGTTTTATTATTAATATTACGTTCTAAATATCTTGAAAAATTTATAACCGATTTTTGGTATGTTATATGCTATAATGTGGAATATTTTAGTTGGAACAAAGGATTAAACATATTACTTTTTTTGAAATTTTTGAAAGTTTAATTTTTTGAAAAATTGATCTATTTGAAATTAATCTAAAATTAGGTGTGCACTATTTGTACGAATAAGCAGACACATTTATGCAAACTAAAAATAAACGCACACATTCGTTCATAGGACTTACTTTCACAATCTAAAATGCATGCCCTCATAGAGCGATGTTTCCGCGTTTCTTAAAAATATAAATAGATTAGATTAATACTTATATCCTCAAAATAACACAATCAACAATACACTAAAATATATTAAATTAGTATTCATTATTTATTATTGAATTAATTGTTTTAATTGTATTAAAATTAATCTAAAATTATTATAAGGATTTTAAAATTCTATAGCAAAATGGTAAATTTTGGATTTTACATAATTAATTTTGTTAATTAGTCCTATATAAATTGAAAATTTGATATCCATATTTGCTTCAAACCAATGATGTTTGCTCTTTTAAGGTTGCATGTCATAAAAAATATTCACAAATTATGTAATAAATAAATGTTTTATATTTGTTCGATATTTTATGATTTACATAAAACATTTATAATGAATTAGATGGTATCTAAAAATATTTTGTGTACGCACAAATGAAAAAAAAGTTAAAAAATGAATTTAGATAAACATTTACATTTATATTAATTTAATTACAAGTACTTATTAATATTAGTATTATTATGATGTTTTGTACTATTAGACTAAAAGTTTTCTTTATGAATTCTAAACTTACTAGCAAATTTTTTGAGACACCTTTCTTCGCAATCGGCTTTATCATTAATTACAAAAGCTATAATTATATAAAATATTATATGCATATAATAAAGTAATACATGTAAGGGATAAAAGTTTTGAAAATTCTGATTTACTAAAATTAATTTATATTTCAATAAATGATAAAAAAATTCAAAATTTATTTAAAATATTACAAAAATTTAAGAGTAAACATTAAATATTTTCGCTTTACGCATAATTATTATTAAACTAGAAAATTAATTATAAAAATAAATATTCATAAAAATCTGTTATTATTTCTAGATGAATAATTTTTACAATATTGATGTGAAAATTTATTTATTGATATATTATGAAAATATTAAATAATAAATTAGTTAAATACTTTATTATTATATTCATATTTTTATATGATTCGTTAAAAATTGTTAATATTAGGAATATATTTTAGGACAGGAATTATTAAGCTTGATCGATAAATTATCAATAATAAAATATAGAATGCATACTATTACAGCAGGTCAAGCAATTTTCTTTTGTGAAAAGAGAACTATTTCCTGTAGATTGTAAAATGATAATATTAAGATTATTATTGTATTATTATTTTTATTGTAGATATATATTTACTAATTTTAGTACCTTCAATGTGTTTTACACAAAAAAACAAACAAAATAGAATAATTACGAAGATATTAATATTTTTATAATTTATCATTATTTTATATATGAGTATCTTTATGTCCACATGTAGTGCAGAAATATGTATAAGCAAAATAGAATTTACTACTATATATGTTTTTTAGAATTTTATTATTTAGAATTTTTTTTTAGAATAACATGACTATTAAAATACTGTAATTCTTGTAATTGTTTTATTATCTGTATTTTATCCATTATTATAATTATTAATATACATAAATTAATAACATAGATTTTATTTGTCCAATACCACAGTTTATCATATACTATTAAATAATAATATTTCAATAAGTTCTTAAATGTATATATCTATCATTGAATAATGAGAACATATTGTCTTGATTTACATTTAAAAATTAACTTTTGTTTTTACTAATACCGATGTTTTCAACGGGAATTTATGGTTCCTTAAAATTAAATTTATCATATAACAATTAAGATATTATCATTCATTTTAAAACAATTTCCCATGCAAATGAATTCAGATTAAACTCGTATATTTTTACGTACCTTTTATTGGGGGTTGGTTTTATTGACTTTGAAAAATGATTGAAATAGTAATGATGAATAAGGATAATGATATACATTCGTCGTATGTTCTTTTATTGGACTTATTATCAAGTAACTAAATGAAGGCTTGTATATATAAATATATATATATATATATATATATATATATATAATAGTGAACATCGAAATAACAGCTGCATAAAATATTTATCAAGTATAATTATAAATTCGCTTTACGAATTTCTTGGTATACAGTCAATAGATATTGGCGTTATTGTAAGATTTTCATTAAACGATATTATAATATATTCTAATAATATTATTTTTTTCTGCACTTCTTTTTTACTCATTTCTTAGATTATATTAAATAAATAATATAGTTGCATTATGCCTTTTACATTGTTACATTTTTGGATTTTCAATGTTGAATGAGCTTTGCATAATTTAGTTATCTTACAGCAATAAGTAATATTATTTTAATAATAATCAATAAATGAGAAATAAATTTAATTTTTTAAATTTGCTATAAATCATTATGCATATTGAATAAATTTAAAAATGAAAAAAAACATTCCTTACAACGTTTCGTACAAAACTTCTTATAACGTTACAATTGATGAGGGAGGTATTCTGTTCAATTCATTTATATTTTAAAAGCTTTTTTAAGACTACTTTTTAAGAAACGCATGCGTGATTCTGTGAAACATAAAATAGCCAGCCTCGCGTCTAGGTTGGTCGTGTATGAAATTCCTAATTCCAGTATCCATTGCTTTGTAATGTTTCCAGTTTTATTAGAAATATTTTAGATTTTGTTTGTTTACTTTCTACAAATATATATGGTTCATAAAAATATGCCAAATAAATTTTGGAAAATGGAATGATCATTTTACGTATTATAAGCTGGAAGGATTTTCATTTTTCTGATCTAACTATTGTTAGAAAAATTAATCTGTGTAATTTAACTTATATAACTATTGTCACAGAATATTTATAAACTTTAAAAGTAGTGTAGGAAAATGTTCATAATTCACTAGTTTCTGATGGTTTTGATAGATTTAAATTTCATTCGTTCTACGTGATTCTTTTAATATTATTACAGTTATTATTATGTTGTTGTAATATATTGTCTTAATAATAATAAAAATTAACTATTGAAAAGTACGAAAATTGATTTACAATACATTATGTTAATATGAATACATATTTTTAATTTTATTATATATAACTTGCACAAGTACACGTTCAGATGAGAGGGTACAGGTATTGAATTTTCTGATTAAATGAAATGTAATTTGTAGTTTCATAAATATATCTTTACGTATAAAATATTTTGTTTTATCATTATTATAAATTCTATGCAATCGAATCGAATATTAATTAACACAATTTTAATAGAGTTAATTTTCTAAAATAAAAATTTCCTATATTTTTTCATACTTATGAGAACTATAAACATACATTTATCTACTCAGTTAAATAATAAAACAGATAAATATATATATATATATATATATATATATATATATTGTAGTGATATACATAAGATATTGTATTGAAGAATATTCTAAAAATATTCAATAAATATATAATAAACATATACGATAAAATCCTTACAAAGATATCTTCTTGATATGCATGAGTAATGTTGACGAAATAAATAAAATTTAATCTCGTCTAATAATTTATTTATAGATTATGTAAGTCTTAAATCTTGGCTACTTTATTTCAGATTATTTATGCGACGAATAAGGAACATTATTATATAAAATATTACTAATTCACTTGATGACACATTCCATTTCTTTTTATCTTCTGTATTTAGGGTAAATACGACTACAGAGTATATTTGCATCACTCTCCTGCATCCTTCAAACGATTATTTGTATACTTTATCCCTTGCGAAACTACGAATGAATAATCCTAATGAAAAATCCGAATGATGATCCTAATGATAAAGTATATATCCATTTGTTATTACTTATTTGGATTGCTATTAGCGATCATTAATATATTTGAAACTTTTATTATTTTAAATTCAAGTAGTTTTCAAAGCGCTATTATTATACAAATTTTGTACACTCAATGTTAATTAAAAACCAGAGACCTATTAATGAAAGTAAGTTAATTTTTACGTAATTTCTAATTTAAGATATTTTTAACATATATTTGCGATTAAAATTTTCTTGTAGTTATTTCAATACTTGTGTATACAATAAATATTTAATTTGTATAATAAAAGGCTAATAATAAATTGAAGTAAGTTTTTATTAATGTTTTAAAATATAAATGTGAATATTTAATTCGAAAACCTCAAGATAAATAAAAAAACGTATTTTAGAGTACATAGGATGATGTTTTGAAAAGTTTCAAGCTCTTATCTTTATGTGAATATCACATGATATATCTTACTAATTTAAGTTCTTGATTGATAGATAAATCTGAGTTTTAATAATTTTTAATATTCAATTTATCAGCCTTAATTATTTGTATACATCGAAGTACGTAGTTTTATGTAAGTGCAAATACTGAAAACTAATAATTTGTTTATTTAATTTTTGTAATTAAAAAACAATATATATTTAACAATATATTTTGCTAAGAAATTGTTGGGATAGTAATAAGTATAAAGAAGTTTGCGGCAGTTGCTTCATCAGTATTATAAGCAGTCTACGAAAGCTATACCATCACTAATAATATTTTAAAAATGTATATTAATTCATTATTGCGGAAGATCTGACACACTTTAGAAGATGTGAAAATCTTATAGGAATATCGGTATACATTTATTTAAAAATGGTATGCATCTATGAATATCAAATATATATTATTATATTTTCCGATTGAAAATTATATACGTGTAAAATAAAATTTATATAATCGAATAAAAAAACCTTAAAGAAAAAATTGATCTAAATAAATTTTAATTTGTAATATATAATATGAAATATGTAATAATCGGCAAAATTTATAATTACAATAATATTTTTTACCAATTCAAATTTAAAGTGAAGGATGAGGATTTTTACCAAGAAAGATGAAGGATTTTTACCAAGCATTTGCTTCGTAAAAAAAAACATAGATGCTATTATTTTCTAAAATTAAACTAAAATTAACTATTCATTTTAGAATAATTTTCACACATATTCAAATGTAGTTTTAAATTTGTAGAAATTTATACCAAATTAATCTATTTAACAATTGTACGATTTATTCAAACTGTTTCATACTTATTAAACGATGAATATAAACATATAGCATAACACTTTACA